CACTCCTTTCATTTCGTTCTTTTTCCTGTGCCATTAAGATATATCAAAACTTACAATACCGACTAAAGCGATCAGAATCTAACCAAACATTCTCTTCATGGCTCCCTTTCACTGAACTACCCCTCAAATGATACTTACTCTGTCAGTATAATCAACTACATCTGACGCCCTCTTTAACCCTGGAGTCTGAGTCAGGAGATGAAGGGGCGTGAATACATAAATTCCATGGAACATAAAGTTTCAACTGGCTTCAATGGTGGGAAAACAGTTTCTGCTTTGTTCGAAAATAACTTACAGGTGGAACGTAACAAGGCCTAGGGCTTTCACCACCCAAAACGTACCGCAAAACTGGAAAAGCAAGGTCGTGCAACGCTGTTCAGCAACAGGCTGAATGCGTCGAATCAGCACTAGGTGTGCTGATTTGAAACGGCTGTAGTTCTGATTGTAAGGCGAGGGGAATTTTGCCTAGCCATGCGCGGCCAGCTACGCTCTAAAGCAAGCCTTCCGAAGTGGCTCCGAAGTGCTGGCATGAGTGGGACGAGAAGCCTCGCGTCCTTCCATAGACAAACTTGAACGGTGACTCCCGTGTGCTTTATTCCTCTGACGTATTGAGGCCGAAGGCAGCGGCGGTGACGTACTCATCCCAGTTATGACTAGGACGCACGTATGACGACAGTATGTTCTTGGCGGTACGGTTTAAACGTTTCACCAGACCGTTCGTTTAGCGGTACTGAAGGGTATCCACGGCATTTCGAATTCCATGGTCATTGAGTTGGTATCTGACTGCGTGTGACGTGAAGAGGATGTTGCGCTCAATGAGGACCAAGCGGGGCGCATCATGCCGAAAAGCAACACACACGTTGATGATCGAGACAACGTGCTGTGTCGAAAAATTCCAGAGAGCCCTTACTTTGGTTCACATCGTGAGATAGTTCGTGGCAAGGATGGGTAACTTGTTGCCGCGCAACTTACGTGGAAGCGGTCCTATGTGATCAAGTCCAACTATCTCAAAAGATGTTTCTGGACGAGGGATAGGTTGCATGGGGACAAGTTGTGGATTTTTCATGACCTTGATTGCTTGACAGGCTGTGCACGACAAAATGTAGCGATAGATGTTCATGTGCATGCGCCGCCACCAAAACCTTTCTTTGATAAGTGCCAGCATCTTGTGCAGCCTAAGGTGACCAGCGGTCGTGCGTTGTGTCACATAAATAGCACCAATTGTTGAATGGCTAGAGGAACCGCAGGGGCACACGACCTATTCTACATCTGTTGGTCATGAAGGATTCCATTTCGAATGGGATATGATGCATAAAGACTTTGACAATGACGCTTGGAAGTAGATATAACGCAGAAAGACTTTCACGACGATGCTTGGCAGTGCCTACTATCTCGGATTGTCCCAGCGTTATATCGATTGTTACTGCATCTCGTAGCTGTGTAGTATTTTAATCAAGCACGGCAGTGACTGGGGAGACGTCGCTGAACTGTTTCGGGGGACAAGAAAGGTAGTCAGCATCTTGATGGCAAGCGTTGCTGTGAAACCATCAAAAATCCTAATCTTGAAATTTAGAATCCCTCCTGGGTCGCCTTTGTTTAGAGCCAGCGAATGCCTTCATTGTTGGTAATGACCGTGAAGATTTTATCATAAACGTACGGGCAAATATTTCGAAAGCACAAACTACCGCCAAGCACTAACGTACAGAGCCATGATATTGACTCTCTGGTTCATTGGGCCAGCGGCTAGCGTAAGTGATTTCTGCGCGTTCGGAGACAACGCGGGTATTGCCTACTAAGAACTTGAGAGCAGGTATTGATTCTGTGCTGCACCAAAGGAGTGTGGCCGTGCTGATTAGGTGACATGACCGTGCCGTCACGGCAGTTTCGTAGAAGTGCTTGAATCTCAGCTTTCTGGAACGAACTTACGTTGGAGCCGAAGCTGAATTTATCCCAGTCAAGGAGTGATACAGGTGGTGGTGAAGGCGCAACTGGCTGTACTTCTGCTACGACAAATGGTGCTTCAAGGTAGGTTGAGGTACCGAGAACGGTGCTTGTCGACCCACACAGGTTACTGTCGCACAGGTACAAGACAAGCACTGCGAAGGTTTCGGCCAGAATGCAGGGCCCACGGCATCGCGAATCCATTTCCATGCCGATAATAAACAGTGTATTCTACTTTATTGTTCATGTGAACAAAAAAGTTGGTGCGGATTTAAATGATAACCCACGCAGCAGACGAAAAGGGTATGATAAGCGAGGTTGCTGTAATGACAGCATGCAAAATGGGGAATATATTTCTAATTTCATATTATTGACTTCTGTTTGTATCGTTGGCCGTAGACGCTATCTGTTAAAATGCCGACTTGCGAAGAAATTTGAGTAATTCGACTTTTTATCACGTGGTAGCTGTCAGCCAGCGCGGAGTGAACATTCTCAACAGTTCTGTGAATAAGACTATGCAATGGAAACATAACTACCAAGGGCAAGCTTTATCAGATGCTTCATCACTTGCTCCGGGAAGTGTGGAAGCGGTAGGTGTTCATTCGGTGGCGCAATCAGTGCCACTAAACTGCAATCTAATCTCAAACTCCGCATACCAATCATAACCTAAAACCATTGTCACACAGAGATTTCGGACAAGAAGTAACCGCTGTCTGGCTGTCCTCCCAAGCTCACACACGCTCAGGCATACTTAGCGAAAGCTAGGTGGAGCGGCTCCATGAGCATGCAAATAGTACTGCGAAACTGCAATCTATATACAAACTCTGCATACCAATCACAACCTAAGAACACTGGCATGCACAGGTTTGGTACATCAGGGAACCACTGTCTCGCTGTCTTGCCAAGTGCAGACAAGCTCAGGCATACTTCGCCGAAGCTAGGTGGAGCGGCTCCGTCAGCCAGCACGAGATGAGGTCGAGTCACATGCGCAGGGCTCACAGAAAATCTCCCAGGCAAGAAAGTCATCGCGAAAAAACTGAAGGCAGCCCCAGTGTCCACAAGTGCTTCAGTGGGCTGGGACAGATTTCCAAGCATCAGCCTCACAGTTGGCATATCGTTCAAGGAGCCTATTGTAAAAGAAGAGGGGCTTCAGCCATAATACGGGGTCCTGCCCTCGATGACTGGTACTCTATTTTCGGGAAAAAGGGGTCGAGTTTGTCAGCGACGCGGTCACTCAAAGATAGCTCCGGGCAAAATACCCAACGTCGTTGCAAAGTGGTGGCAATGCATCACCGCTGAAAAGTCGTGGTGCCGAGCAGGTGCGGAATGCAGGGTCATGTAGGTTGATTACCAGAGTAATCTAACGCTGCTTACGACCACTCTTGTATTTCTTCCTCAGGAGCTACGGCTACAGCCGATCGTATCTCAATCGGACAAGCGAGGTGGTTGAAGCGGTGGGCGTTTCTTGTATGTATGGCGTCAACAAAGGCGTTAGCAGCGATACGATTCATGATTGTGTCAAAGCAGCCCGACAAGGCTTTCCGGCACAACCTATCGACGTGCGCAGCTAGTTCATTAAGGTCATGCCGACTTTGTCGGACGTGTTTAAGTTGTGTAAGGTAGAAATCTTGAAAGTGAGTGTCGCCAAATATGATTTGCAGCAGAGAGACATGATTTTCATATGTACAGCGGATGATTTTTGCGATATACTCAATGTATTCAGCCGTGGCGGCACGGAGCTGTACAACGAGGGACGCGAACTGTACCAAAAATGCTACCCACGACGTGGTGCCACAGAAAGTAGGTGGTGGAAGTAGTGTTCCTAAAAACTGAGGCTTAGCTGAGATGGAAACATACGAGGTAGGCATACGTTGTTGATGTCCTGATTGCGCCTTAATGACAAGGAGCCGCGCATCAACTTCCGCGACGACGTGTGCCGCTGGTGCACGTTGGGCAAGTGCGGCCTCAATAGAAAGCAGGCTGGTAGACGAGTGAGTTTCGAAATCGTGCATGAGTACTCGTCTGTCAGCCTCACTTATTGAAGCCAGGGCTTGTAGGCAATGTGGTATAGGTAGACTGGGACGACTGCTTGACTGTTGAGCGTGACTTGGCGTACACTGGGCATCGAAGTCCGACAGAAGAGGCTGAACACTGACAGAAGAGACAGGGGACCCCACAGTTCTGCCGAGCTTTTCTCTGTTCTAGAAACATCAGGTTCCCCGACCGTCTACGAAGTGTCGTGTGCTATAGGGTGCATCTGTGAATTGCCGGCTGTTGTCGTCACGGCAGCCTTGCTGCGTGTAAAAATGGGTCACAGTTGGAACCACTGCCATCAAATGAAACGTACAAGTGTAACTAACGTAAAGAAGGTGATCATGATGATCCTTGAAATATTGGCACCTACCCACTCGGCCAAGAGTAGGGAGGTTCTTACAAACTTGATTTATGATTGAAACTGTCTTGTGGCTGGTGCCGAGCTAGCGTGGCAGAGCACGAGCGGAGAGAGACGATACGCACGACAGCTGCTCAGCTAACGAAAAGGGCCCTCCCACTTTATTCGGGGCAGAATATATACAATCTCAGGGGCGCCACCTGCTAGTGGCAGCCGAACTCAATGGCTGAAGGGTGGCGACCTCTACATCTCCCCCCTTGAAGACCAGACGGAAGACGGAGGACGCCAGACACTGCACATCACAAGTTCAGGCGGTTCGGAGGCACAACACGGCGGCCACAACGTGTTCGTGTCACACCATCACTGCGGTCACTGTCTGCAGGGGGCAGTCCAAGGGAATCGGGTGGTTGCACTGTAGTAGTTCGCTCGGGTTTCAGAGGGGGGCCGTGTTCGCTGTGGCTCCTGCTCCTCAGACGGCGGTGGTTCCACTCTTGGCACAGGAGGTGCAAAAGGCACTAGGTGACGCCGGTTGCGCTGTAGGACGCCACCCTGCTCCGTTTCCACGACATAACTTCGTGGTCGGCGTGCTGGGCTAAGCACTTTAGCCCAGCACGCCGACCACGAAGCTTTGACCTGATCACTTTGACCTGAGCACTTTAGCTTTGACCTAATCAGGTCGTACCCAGACACACTGGCCTGTTCGGAGCGATGACAGATCTTGAGCTCTGTGATGCCTGTTAAAGTCAGCGGCCTGTTTCTGCTTGTAGGCTGCATCTTTTCTCCTCACGTCTTTCCTCGACGGCCAGTGAGGACATAACTGGGAGTCCTGTTTCGGCACTTTGGTTCGGAGTTGTCGTCCCATCAAGAGCTGGGCCGGGCTGAAGCCATCGACTCCGGGGGTGTCCCGGTAGCTGAGCAAGGCCAGCTGAGGGTCTGTTGCTTTGCGAAACAACTCCTTGATGGTCCTGACCATTCTCTCCGCCTCTCCGTTCAATTGCGCATAGTGCGGGCTGCTGGTGACGTGGTCAAAGCCGTAAGATGCCGCCAATGCTGCAAACTCGCGTGAAGAGAACGGTGGACCGTTGTCTGATCTGACTTCTCGCGGAATCCCATGCCGGGCAAAGATGCTTTTCAGAACGTCGATGACTGCCTGAGCCGTTGTGCTCCGCAGGGTTACAACTTCAGGGTACCTGGAGTAGTAGTCCACCACAAAGATGAATGTCTGGCTGCGGAGGTGGAACAGGTCCATGCCGACAAGTTCCCAGAGACGTCCAGGTAGGACTGTGGAGACCAGGGGCTCTGCATGGCTCACCCGAGTGGAAGCACATTGCTCGCAGTTAGTTACCAGAGAGGCAATGTCTGCCGAAATGCCAGGCCACCAAATGGACTCTCGAGCTAGAGCTTTCGTCCTGTTGATGCCTTGGTGTCCTTCGTGCAACAGCGTCAAAACAGCCGGCCGAAGAGAATGCGGGATGACCATCCTGGCGCCTTTCAGTAGAACACCGTCGCAGACAGAGAGCTCATCAGCTGCTGAGGCATACTGGGAGAAGTGCAGTGGCAGTTTGGACTTCTGTGGCCAACCATTCTGGCAGAAGGAGGTGAGGCCTCTGCATTCGCCATCGGACTCTTGTGCTTGTCGCACGTCCACTGGGTTTAGTGGCAAGGCTTGTGACATGCCGCTGACCACTTGAGCTGCAAACAATTCCACGGTGTCCAGGGGGAGGGACGCCGTCTGGGCGATGCGTGACAAGGTATCTGCCGTAGCTAACAGCTTTCCTGGCACGTGGAGCATTCGGAACTGGTATCGCATGGTCTTTAACCTGAGCCTCTGTATGCGAGGCGGCAGCATGTCCAGCTCCATCTTGCCGAAGAGAGAAACGAGTGGTAGGTGATCTGTCTCAACATCGAAGGTGATGCCGCGGACGAATTCGTCAAACCGTTGGATAGCCCATGTTGTTGCCAACGCTTCCTTTTCCGTCTGGCTGTAACGCTGCTCTGTCTCTGTCATTGATCTCGAAGCAAAAGCAACTGGGCGGCGCTCTCCAGAGGGCTGTGTCTGCAGCAAGACTGCGCCCAGTCCGAATGAGCTTGCGTCAGCCGAAACTGTGGTGGCGTATGATGGATGGTACTTGGCCATGCAACGGTCTGATGTCAGGAGTTCCTTGATTTTCTCGAATGCAGCATTTTGTTAATGCTGCCACACCCAAGTCGCAGACTTGTTTAGAAGTGCTCTGATGGGAGCAGTGACCTCTGAGATGCAACGCGAAATCCGGGCAAGATGGTTCACCATTCCGAGCAGTCACCGGACACCTGCGATGTCGGTTGGAGTCTCCATGGCTTTGATTGCTTCGACCTTGTCTGGACTTGGCCTGATGCCTTGTGCTGAAACGATGACTCCTAGGAAGGAGACTTCGGAGACACCAAAACGACACTGGTCCTGGTTCAACGTGAGGCTTGCTTTTGCAAGGCGAGACAGCACCTGGCTCAGTCTGGCATCGTGCTCCTCGCGGGTGCGCCCAAAGACCAGAATGTCGTCTATCATATTGGCGACTCCTTCCTGGCCCTCCAGGATCCTGGCCATCTGTTTTTGGAAGTACTCCGGCGCGGAGGCGATGCCAAAGGGGAGCCGGCAGAAGCATTATCGGCCAAATGGGGTGATGAACGTTGTGAGCTCTTGGGAGTCTGCAGATAGTTTAACCTGATGAAAACTGGCTGTTGCATCCAGTTTGGAGAAAACTGTTGCGTCGCCAAGGAGGCCAAGGACTTGCTCTACCGTTGGTAGGATGTGGCGTTCCCGAAGGACAACCTTGTTAAGCTGAGTCAAGTCAACGCACAGCCGGTAGGAACCATCGGCTTTCCGTACTACAACGAGACCAGAGCACCACGGGGTTAGGTTGTCGACCCTGCGGATCACGCCTCATTCCGCCAGTTTGTCAAGCTCGTGACGGACGACCTCGCGTAGCGGGATGGGAATCCTGCGAGGCACACTTAGGGAGAAGGGTACGGCGTCGGGTCTCAGAAGGATAGTGTACTCGTCCTTGAGGGTGCCCAATCCCTGGAAGAGCTCAGCACGCAATGTTGCTTTCGAAGTCTGAAGTTCGTCGAGAAACTTTACAACTTCTAGAGCTTGAAGCGCCGGCAGTCAAAGAAGAGGTACGGTGGGAGACTGGATCACGTACAAGCGCTGAGAGCTCATTTTCCCGTGCCACCAAAGTCTCGCCATGTACGAACCCAGCACGCGCCGCGGCTGACCGCCAGGTCCAGTGAGCCGGCTGTTGAGGTGTCGAGCTTGGCCGGCAATGCAGGGAAGTCGCTCGGAACGGCGGACACCTCGGCTCCGGAATCAACCTTGAACTGCGCTGTGTAGTTGTCAACGGTGATGTCGACGAACTTTGCCGCGGTGGGCGTCCCGACAGCCTGTAGCTGAATGGAGCCGAGCTTCTGTTTTGCCTGCCGCGCGCGGCACACCTCCGCAAAGTGTCCTTTCTTTTTGCAGAAGTTGCAGACGGAGTTTCGAGCAGGGCAGTTAGAACGTGGATGTGGCGCGCGGTCGCAGAATTCACTTGTTGACGGCTGGCAGGAGCGCTCTGCTTTCCGCGGGGGCGAAGGCCGCTTATCGTAGTTGCGGCGGCGAGAGGCGAACTTCTTATCTCGTACGGCGTCGAGGTGTAGCTCGCGGGAGTGCTCTGCGCAGTTTTGAGGCAACGTTTTTTCTTTGTCGGCGTCTTCTGATTGATGGGCCTGCATCCATGCTTCTTTGAGCGTCAATTTCGCGTTCCGGCAAAGCTGGTCCGAAAGGCGCGAGTCGCGGAGGCCCGCGACGAATCTATCGCGTACAAGCTTTCGCTCCACCTCAGCTGACGAATAGTTGCACCGCTTCACCATTCTACACAGTTTGGCGTAGTAGGCGTCGACGCTCTCGTCGGGTAACTGAACACGCCGGTGAAAGCGCGACGACTCGTACAGTTCATTCGCCAGATGCACGAAGTGGTCGGTGAAGCTAGCGGCAACCGCTTGAAATGAGGCGAGTGATGCGGTGTCGAGCGAGAACGTCTCCAGAAGTGGGCGGGCCTCCGGCCTCATGCAGTACAACAACGAGCATACCTGCATGTCGCCGGATGCTTGAGTCAGGCCGGAAACGACGGCGTAGTCCTCGTAGCGGCGAAGCCATGCTGGCCAGGTTCCCGGGTTCACAAAGTCGAACGGTGCGGGCGGCTGGAGGTTAAGGCTGAGCTTATTCGGCGCCATCGTCGTGCGGTACGGGCGAGTTCGGGATGAGGGGGCGTTACGCAGCCACTTCTGACACCATGTCTTGTGGCTGGTGCCGAGCCAGCGTGGCAGAGAACGAGCGGAGAGAGACGATACGCACGACAGCTGCTCAGCTAACGAAAAGGGCCCTCCCACTTTATTCGAGGCAGAATATGTACCATCTCAGGGGCGCCACCTGCTAAGGCAGCCGAACTCAATGACTGAAGGGTGGCGACCTCTACAGAAACAATGAAATTTTGTCTTGTTTGTTCATAGCTTGGAATACATGAAACATACCCACTCTGGGAAATTGGCCAAGAAAAGAGATAGTATCCTTTGAAAGGTAACTGCATTATGGCTTACAAAAAAAGAAAAGAAAAAGATGCAGAACGAAGATATAACATAAAAAAACAAAAATTCGGAGAGTGAGGAACCATAACAAGAAAATAATCACTACTCTATTAACCATACCTTGACTTTGGGAGCCTACCAGAAAGTTGAGTTTTACAAACCCAATTAATTTTGGATGTATGTCTCATACTTATTCAAATTTTATGAATTACTTCCCCACTATTTTAGGGGGTGTTTGAGAAAGTACGCCTTATGTTGAAATACGTTTAGCGTATTGAATGAAAAAACACACTGCATCAAATCCATCTTTGTGGCGATTTCACAGAAGACAAGCACCAAAATTTAAAATGGTTTCCGTGGTTAAATTTAAATCTAGCTTCACTAACGGAATAGCTAGAATTATTTCCCCAATTACTGCGTAGTTGTGACATGAGACAAAATAATGTTCAATAGTATACAATTCTTCGCAGAACTGACAAAAAGTGGAGTATGTAAGGCCAGCTCTGTGTAAATATAAAAATTAAAGGGGGAAGACGACACTGAAATCTGGAGAAAATAACTTCGAGTTTTTTTCAACGACTCCACTTACATAGCCATGGAAATTTGAGGTGCTGATAATCTGTCCATTTTGTAATATATTACAAACATTTTGTAAAAAACCATACACTGTTTTCATTGATATCCTTTACTGGACTGCCCCTCAAGTGCCAGTCACAGTGTTGGTATGATCCGCTACAATGTTGTGTACCTCCAGAAATAGTTTATGCGCATATTTTAAATATTTTAGAACTCCTGCTTGCGGAATTCTCAGGAAGCGATGGTATGCGGATGTAAATTAAAATTTAGTAGGTTCATTTTGATAATTACTCCAGCCTACATACTACGAACCATTTAACTCCACTTGACGAAAATCTAATAGTGGTAGTTTCATTACCTGCATGGCTAGCAAGGAAACTAAAGTGAAAAAATTGGGTGCAGTTAAAAGTTGTCTCTATGGCCATCGGCTTCCTGCAATATCAAGACTTGGCCGGTATTGTATACTGTTGCAGCCGTTTGAAGGCTAATAATACCCCTACTTTGAAATAGCACACTGTGTACTGGGTAATATCCTTAGATATAAACAAAAAAATTACGGTCTGCAGATGTAAATAAAAATTTAGTAGGATGAATTTGATAATTACTTCAGCCTACATACTACGAACAATGCAACTACAATTGACGAAAATGTAACAGTGGTAGTTTCATTACCTGCATGACCAGCAAGGAAACTAAAGTGAAAAAATTGGGTGCAGTGAAAAGTTGTCTCTATGGCCACCGGCCTCCTACAATATCAAGACTTGGTCGGTATTGTATACTGTTGCAGCCGTTTGAAGACTAATAATACTCCTACCTTGGAATAGCACACTGTGTACCGGTTAATAGCCTTAGAACTTACAAAAATTTGGATGTTTTGTACACATCGCCATTTGTACTTTTATATATGTGTGTTATCCTCTAGCACAAAATTTTTACTTGAAAGTAAACGACAGCACTAATGATAGTCTAAATTTCTCCTAAGAGTGTCACAATTCTTGCAAAATACAGTATTGGTATTGTAACGAGGGAATTGACTTCTTTGCAAGATAAGTTCACCAATGCTTAGCACCGCACAAGGGACAAGACGGTCATGCCCACAACGGCTCGCCGCTTGCTCACGCTTCTTCCTACTCTTCTTCACTTCGGGAGACTTGTCGCGCAACTATATTAAATATATTATGGTTGCTTAACGTCCCAATACAACCATACTATCATGAGAGACGCCGTTGTGAAGGGCTCCATAATCTTTGACTATATGAAGTTGTTTTTTTTACGTGCGCCTAAAGCAGATGGACATCAAGCGTTTTTGATTCGATTGCTCAACTCAGTTGCAGAGTTTTTATGCATCTGGTGACGTAAGTGTTATGTTGTTACAATCATTCTTAGCTCAATAAAACTATCAAGATATACCTTTCTTATGTTGAGGAATTTCAGGAATGGAATTGACCTGCTGGCTATTCCCGGGTTTTTTACTCTAACTAATTGAGGAGATTGGAATTGGAATGAATTGGAGATGTCCAATCTGCAGCACTGTTGCGGACATCGCACCCCGTTACAGCAAAAAAATGCAATCTATTGCAACTTACCGTACAATGTTTTGCGAAGAGCCGTCTAGTTGGCATCGATGCCGACATAGCACGCCTGGACTTTGAAGCAATAAGACCCCGAATGCAACCAAACAAATCCGCCAACCCGGTGTTTCTGGGGAGTCAGAAACACCGCTGGCGGCTGGATTTTGCCGCCAGCGTCGGCGTTGACTTCATGTACCATATATGTATACGTATGTATATATGTGAAAACTCAAGAAAGAAAGAAATTCCAGAAAAAAAAACACTCCGGCACGCGCAATTGAACGTGGGACCTCTGCGTCGTGAATGCGAGGTGTTAATCACTGGGCCACCCCAGAGAATGTTCTGAACCATTCAAACGGCAAGCTATTTATACCTACGACTTACCGCTGCTGTGTTTTTGGCAGTACCAGAAAGATTGTGCAATGAGCGCACGTTGCCACATCACGCAGCAGCGCCCACTCTAATCTCCTACGCCTAGTTTGCCCGGCCTAGTGAAGGGGAGCTATGCTCCTCGCGCGCCCTTATCTCGCGGTGGCGAAGAGGAAAGGATCGTACCCTTTAGCTGGCCTCGGGCTTTACGTGAAACGATTCTGCTGTAGTTGCCGGGCACGCAAAGGTAACAAAATCATCGCAGTCTCCGTTCGCGAGAAGCGCGCGCTTTTCTGAATCAGCGAAGTAACAAATGAGACGGTATTCGCGTGCAGCCGTACCTGTCAGTACGTTTCGTGCGTAATTGTGTTCGAGAAAAGCGGCGCACGTTTCAATCTGCCTTCCATTCTGCGCTTGACTTTTCAAAATTTTGCCATCGCGTTCATTGCTGCACTTTTGAGGCAATGTTGTAGCTTTTTTTTTCAAATGGACCTTGTTGCCGTGTGGCGGTATTTGTTCAGGAACGAGAGATGAGACAGTGGCGATGAGCCCGTGCCGAGGTCACAGCTTCATTTGGGATACAGCTGTAGGCAGAGTCGCAGCTGCAGCGTTCAGCAAGGCCCAGAGCTAGTCTGTTTCGTCACGGTTGGTTGTCGCGCGCACTCGGGCACTGATGTACGACAGATAGAATGTAGCGTGCGCGAACTACGGCCAGTCCAATGGGTCTAAATGTACGTATATGTTCCTGCTGGTGGGAATGTCGACAGGGAGTGCGGTCCACCCAGGTAGTGTGTCGACGGTGCTGGTACCATCACTTGCGGTGGCCCACTACCGGCTGCGGTGGCTGCACGGTCTGCCGAATAGGGTGCGCACAAGTTTAATGTCGAGCGCTCTCTACAGACGAAGTGCGACTTGGCTTAGCGTGATGACGAGCCGACACAGACAGTGCCGGTAGGTGTTTGTTGCTGCCCTTTGACGACGTGTAATGCGTAGGAGTATGCCGATTAAACGACGCGGTGTTCCAACGAGAGCCGACATTTGGCGACGCCAGGTCAAGTGGCCGGTCTGTGGCGTCACAGTTGTTGGGGGCCCTTGATGGCGTTGAAATTCTCAAGCCCGTTGCGGTGCGTCAGATGGGTGGTCTACCTGCATGCCTGTTAGGGCATACAAGGTCTGTTCTACTTGTGGTAAGGCAGTAGGGCGGTCCTCGAGAGTTTCGGTGATCGTCGTAGCATCATGCACGTTCAGTCGTAAATGGTTATGGGATTTAACGTCTCCTGCCGGGGGCTTCGAAGACGATGGCTGTCGCTGGTGGCAAGATGCGCACAGTGTCAAGGTCGATAAGAAGTCACGTTTGTTGTACATTTTGGATGGCGTAATCTCCGCGATTAGGAGGCCAATAATAGGTAAAGGGATGCCTGCTTCCGACACAGAGGCGTGCGGCAAGGTAGCTGTGTGTAGTCTGGTGTGGCCACGGGGTCGCATGCTGTCAATGTCCCGGGAGACATGCAGGACGCCGGTACGTAAGACAAACTATCATACGCGGACTCCGGGGCGTGTTGCCAGCTTGCCGTCATAGAGCCTGACTTGTTATAAGTGTCGTGGGCTTCCGTAGTCGGGTAAGACGTATTGTTGCTAGGCATTCCTTGGGAGCCATCAGCCGATGAGGTCGACGACACGCACCTCATGGCGCACTGGTCGATAGCAGCACCAACATACTGAACCTCTTCGGGTGGGCAGTGGGGCATAGAAAATTGCTTCGCTAGAGGTCGAATGTGAGGTTGGAAGTGACGTAGTTGTAGTCGAGCTATTGAGATCACGCTCATTAGTGAGCTGCAGACCACTTGGTGTCGTGCGCTGCGACGCAATGGCAACCCCGACGTCGCGAGACCACAGAAGCGGGTCGTACGTGAAGCCGCAGAAGGTGAGCAGCGCAGTGCATAGGGCGTCATATCACGCTGGCAGCCACCGTGGCTCCGTTTCAGGCGTGGAATAAAGAGACGTGATTGGCACAGCCCCTTCAGCCGCCTTGAACGTCTTCTCACGTCTCTCTACTCACGCCGCTACAGTATCACAGTCTTGGAGAGTTGAAGTAAAATATTGCAACATGACACTAGTGTGCGCTGAGAGGAC